CTCATTGTTTCAAGTTGTCTTATACTAGAAGAACAAACTACTGCTAACTTGATAAATAGAATCGGCCGAAGATAAATTAAAAAAATAAATAAAAATAAAATAATCGATCAAGCTCACCTTACTGCTTGCTTCAGCGAGCAAAGCAATTGAGCTCGCCTTTCAGCTCCCTATAGCGAGGAGCTCGCTCCACTGCTCCCCACAGCGAGCAAGTAAGCGAGCAAAGCAATTGAGCTCGCCCTTCAGCTCACAACAGTGAGCAAAATGGCGAGGAGCTCGCTCCACTGCTCCCTACAACGAGCAAAATGGCGAAGATCTCTCTCCATTGCTCCCCTCAGCGAGGAAGTGGGCGAGGAGGAGAAAAGACCTCGGCAAGCTGCTCAGCGAGCGAGTCCAAAAATAAAAAGTCCAGTTTTTAGCCTATAAATGCAACGCGACGAGGCCTTCAGAAAGACACATTCAGAAGACGAAAGAAAGGCGAACGCGGAGACGAACTCAGAGGCAGAAGGCAGAGGCGGAGGAGAAAGTCTAGAGCGGGATTCCAGAAGAGGAGAAGGAGATCAAAGCTTCACCATTGATCGTCTTTAATCAAGTTTTATCATGAACTCTGTTTATTTTTCATTAATTATTTATTTGAATTTATGAGCATGTCTGGCTAGTTTATTTATGTAGTTAGGATTATCGATCTGATGTGAATTCTATTTGTGGTTTGATTTAATTTCTTTAATAAAGTATTTCAGTATTTGTGTTTTACCTTGCATGAATTTTTATATCCTTGTATGAACTGATCACTCTTATAGGGATTTGAGGGTTAGGGCTCGCAATAGACATATTGGAGTTTTAGTCTTGACAGAGGTAAAATATCAATTCTTGTATGACCTAGACATAAACTTGCTTGAGTTGTAGACTTCATAATTCATCACGTTTAATGCTTATTCTAAGAGGGATTACTAAGACATTAGAATTCTAATTAGAGTAAAGGGTTAAAGTCACTAAGACATTAGGATTTAACCAACTATTTTTAGAAGATGAATTATCTTAGATATCTGAGGTAAATTATTATTGAAATTAATTTAAATCATTCTAGGAGGATCTGGGGTGAAATAATTCTAACTACAACTTTTGTTTTTGAAATTTTAAATTTAATTCTCAATTCTTGCGTTCTTGATATTCTTGTTATTTATTGCAATTAATTTTAGTTTTATTTTAAATTCAAAAATTATTCTATTTTTCAAACCAATTCGAGTTTTTCAAATTAAAGGGACTAGTTGCAATAGTATTTGGCGCATTAATCCTCGTGGGACGATATTCTTATTTCACTACTTTATTACTTGAAACAATCGCTATACTTGTCGTATCGCAACAACTATGCACATCATGATTAGAAGATTAGATTTAGAATGATATTCCTGGCAACATGTCTTGAGTAATTGGCTTAGTTAAAATTTGAATACGTAATCGTATATCTACCCATGCATGCATCTTTGTCAAGGGGGTGATCACGGGTCACATAAATCCAATGTCAATCCGGGACAAAAATATAAAATAAAAATTAGTTTGGGAATTCAAGTTACATCAGGTAAAAAGGGGTTTAATTTTTTTGGTACATATTGGTTGCCAGGAATAATGGTTTTTAATTCAACAAACTATTATAAAATTAATATTAACTGGACAAAATACTATCCCCTTAATAATTCCATAATCCATAATTTGGAGGAAGCAAGATTGGAAGGTCGTGTTCCGTCTCATATATATTCTGTCACATACACAATTTTTATTTTTTTTACTAATTGCAATGTAATATTTTGAATTAAAATATATAAATTGTTGAAATAATATTGTGTAATTGTCTTTATGGTACTTGATCAGACCAAATACGATATGGGCTGTCCGATACGTATTGAGCCCAATCATACACGGTTGAGACTCCTTCAGTGGTTATTGGCCTGGGCCAAGTACTGCTGTTAGAGCGAGCTTGAGCCCTTTGTCCTTCACGTTGCACCAAATGGGGGGAGGGGGGGTACCTGCAAAGACACTCCGATGCTTAAGTCAGTATCAGAGGCAGGTGTTTTATGTTGTGAAAGTAAAGGATGATCGTACCTTGGTGGTATATCGTGTGTTTATATAGTAGTTGTGATGCCGCCTTTGTTAAGGCGGCATGGCTTCTGAGTGGCCAGTCTTGGGCTGCAGGTCAGGCAGGGGACCTGTTGTAGCCTTATCTTTCATAGTGTCTAGTACTAGAGTTGTAACGAGCTGGAGCTGTCTGTTGCTTACTGGTGCTAAGGCGCGGTGGAGTTGCCTTATGCCTTAAGTTTTACTTCCTATAGAAGGCATCACATATGAGGTGAGAGTCGCGTGCCGCGATGAGGTCATCGCGTCTTGTGTGCCGCAATGAGGACATCGCGTCTTGTGTGCCGCGATATGGGCAGCGCGTCCATGTTTGTTCCTTGTGCTTTGTTCTGGGTCTTTACTGGGCTTGGGTTTCCATGTGTTACTGGGCCCTGATTGGGCCTATATTTTATTCGGATCAGTACTTAAACAATTAAAATAAATATTGAATTAATAAGTGTATAATTCATGTTATTTGGTTTACTAACTTTAAATAATTATAGTAAATAAGTTTTTATTTAAAGAGACACATACAAATTAAGAGCATTGTTTTCAGTTTTGATAAATGTATAATTTATTTTTTTTGATACATTAATATATTTAACTTTTAAATTACGAAACTTTCTGTTATATATATATTACTTTATGAGGTAAACATTAGTTTTCATCATCCATATATATATATAGGATTTATCTAGTCTCATGTTGCATGAGATAAGAAATCTTATGTTATAGACACATAGTGGTGGGACCCACTACCTAAAAAATAAAAAAGAAAGAAAAGAAAAATATTGCACGGTTATCGAAGAGTGTGTAGGAAGAAAACTTACCTCATATACATAAGAATAGTTTTTTTCCATATATATATATATGAGTATAGTTTTTTATGTTGCATGTGATAAAATTATCTCATACACAAAAATAAATAGGTGGGATCCACTAAGAAGGAGAGAGAAAGAAAACTAGTGGGTTTCATCCATTTTTTGTGTGTGCATGAGATAATTCTGTTTCATGCAATATAAGCAACTATATATATATAGGTAAAATCATTTCTGCAGCCGCTTTACGTACAGCAACAACAGTGTATGGTTATGATTCCCCACATTTAATGCTTTCTTACTTTGTATAGTTATGATTCCCCACATTTAATGCTTTCAAGTATATATAGGGATTTACATTTCTGCAGCTGCTGTGCGTGCAACAATCAACTACTTGCCATATATACTTGAAAGTATTAAATGCGGGAAATCATAACTATACAAAGTATGAAAGCATTAAATGTGGGGAATCATAACCATATACCTGTCGTTGTTGTACATAAAGCGGTTGCAGACATAATTTTATCATATATATATATATATATATATGGGGAGGGTTCTTTTGACTCCAGAGTAAGACTTTCAAGTCTTACTCCCCATCTCAGCCATTGATAAACGGAAATCAACAGTTGTCATTTATAGTGTAATTAATAATTAATTAATATAACTTCCTAAACTATAACTGTTGGATGGAAGGAAATCAACGACTAGGAAGATTCTGGAGTCAAATGATCTTTCTCTTATATATATATAAGGAGTGTATATATATATAAGGAGTGTTATATTTACAAATTTTTTGTTTACAAACTCTTACAAATTATACTATGTACTCCCGGAATGTACTTCCAGGAATACACAGTGTAATTTGCAAAAATATGTAAAAAAGTTTGAAAACGGATCCTTCCCGTATATATATAGAATATCTTTTGATACGGGTGTCAAATTAAAAAATTTGACATCAAATCCTATCCGTTGATCGAAGTTTATAATTTATTGAGTCACATTTATTAATTAATTAATAATTTTTAGTAAATTATAATTATCAATCAACGATTAAGATTTGGTGTCAAATTTTTTAAGTTGACTTAGGTATCAAATGATGATATCTCATAGTTATATATATAAAACTGGTCTCTCCCCTGTCTCGCCCCAAAGTTATTTGATGTATCTATCGCTTACAGAGAAGGTAAATAATTGTAAATTTAGACACTAATAACATGTTTGGATTTTAATAATAATCTAAATTAACGAAAAATTAAAGTTTTATTTAAACATGATCCAGCCGTATATAGTTTTACCAAATATGTTATCTGTGAATGAAATTTAATTTGCACATGCCAATTCGAGGTTTAGAATATGCAAATTATATTCAAACTTAATATTTTTAAAAATCAGACTGAATTAGTCAGTTTAACAAATCAAACAGCGAACTAGTCACATTTTTATTCAATTATCGCTCGTTACATTACTTAGTTTAGTTATGAATTTAATTAATTGAACAAATCGAATATAATACAAAAGTCTTGTCAATTAAATTTCTAAAACATATCCATGTCGAAACGTGGTGTAAATATATAGCTGCAATCCTTAATTTTATGATCTTTTTCTCTACTTCACTTCAGTGATGACGCAGGGGCCTCCATGCCCTGACTTATTTTGACGTAATATTTATATTCGGGTGTTTGGTCCCCCATTTACTTATAGAAAAAAAAAAAATATAATGAAAACAAAATACTACGTAGACGTAGTAATAATGAATATGAAGGGAGTTTCATAGTTGGTGTCTTTCCCTCTCGTAGCTTGTCGCCAACTACTTCGTTTCTTGTCACAAGGTGACATCGCACCCAGCTACCAACGAAAGCATGCCACGTCGCAAGATATTAGCCGCTGATGCTGGCTTATAATCGAACGTCTACCATAACTTTTCCACCAACCCCCCCTTGTGCATCGCTGCCACCCCTTATGCTCACCTAACCAAAATACTAACGCACGAGATTTGGCTTGGCCCCAACACCCCTCTATTATATAAACACCCATTCTCTCTCCCACCTTCTCTCAGGAAATCCATAACAACACAACACTCCTCAACGATTTCCTATAATCATCAATCTCTCTCTCTCTCTCTCTCTATCTCTATTTCCTTATTCCTTAAAACTAAGGTCGTGTTTAGTTCATCATTAAAACATGGACACACCCAATGGCAACCTCGTAAATCACGAATCCACTTTTTGCTTGACTACCAGTGCTGCTAATGGTGTTGTTGCTCCTCATGACCCACTCAATTGGGGTGCAGCTGCTGAGTCACTCAAGGGGAGTCACTTGGATGAGGTGAAGCGCATGGTGGCGGAGTACCGGAAGCCGGTGGTCCGTCTCGGCGGCGAGACACTCACGATCTCACAGGTTGCTGCCATCGCCACCCACGACCATGGCGTCAAGGTGGAGCTATCAGAGTCTTCCAGGGCTGGTGTTAAGGCAAGCAGTGACTGGGTCATGGATAGCATGAACAATGGCACTGACAGTTACGGTGTCACCACTGGCTTCGGTGCTACCTCTCACCGGAGAACAAAACAAGGCGGTGCCTTACAGAAGGAGTTAATTAGGTAACCAATTAAAAGATCTATCTTTGCACTGCACACATACCACCCACGTAAATTGTTTGCAGCTGGGCTGGCCCACCTAAATTAATTAAATGATAAATAACCACCACCTAATTAATGTAGTTTTAGCCAAATTATTATTTGTTATTATTATTTTCATAATTGAGAAAAGATTTATATACAGTCTGACTTGCCTTAATACAGAAATTTAACAATATTTTACTTTTATTATACAAAAGTAAGACTTGTAACTTCTCATATTGCATGAGAGATTTGAGTTTTTATACCGAAAGAAAAAGAAATAGAGCCTATTTTAAAAAATATATATGATTAACACTGATATCGAAATAAAAGTATTTGGAGAAGAGATTTTTCAACCACTTTTTCCCATAAAAGTATTGGCTTTCTTGAACTAGAATAAAAAAGAGAGTATTTACTTAAAAAAAGAAAAAGAAAGAAAAGAGTAATTAACGGATTATAAATATAAAAAAATTAATGCAATATCAGAACAAATCTTCATTCACTGCCAATAAATGGTATAGTATTAAAGTGATTAAATACTTTACAAGCACTAATATTTTTTTAAATAATATTAACTTTTTAAACTAATAATTGATAAAAAAAAAAAAGTATACGTAAGTTATTAAAAAAATGTTTTATTTTTATTTTTTAAATGTTTGGTGAACATAAAAAACGTGGGTCTAATAATTTGTTGGGTGGCAGAAAAATTAGGACAAGCAAGTGTGGTTTGCACGTGACGCGGGGTTGGTGACTCATTTTCCAAGTCCTAACTCACCATCTCTGACCACGTAGTTGCTCACTTTGGTTTAACAGTTGACTGGTTTTAAGTTTTAGATAACTCGTCACCTAACTAATATTAATTTACTGTAGTTTTTTTTTTTTTAGTATTAATTTACTGTAGTTGATGGGTAGTAATTTGAAATAAATATTCATAATTCTTATTCTTTTTTATTATTCTTGTTTCAGGTTTTTGAACGCTGGAATATTTGGCAATGGTACAGAGTCCAATTGTACCTTACCACACACAGCAACTAGAGCAGCAATGCTAGTGAGAATTAATACTCTTCTTCAAGGGTATTCAGGCATAAGGTTTGAAATTTTAGAAGCTATAACCAAGCTTCTAAACAACAACATTACACCATGCTTGCCACTTCGGGGTACAATTACAGCTTCTGGTGATCTTGTTCCCCTTTCTTACATTGCTGGTTTGTTAACTGGCCGACCCAATTCCAAGGCTGTTGGACCCTCTGGAGAGATTCTTAATGCCAAGGAAGCTTTTCAATTTGCAAGCATTGGTTCTGAGTTCTTTGAATTGCAACCAAAGGAAGGTCTTGCCCTTGTAAATGGCACTGCTGTTGGTTCTGGCCTAGCTTCTATTGTTCTCTTTGATGCAAATGTACTAGCTGTTTTGTCTGAAGTTTTGTCAGCAATTTTTGCTGAAGTGATGCAAGGGAAGCCTGAGTTCACTGACCATTTGACTCATAAGCTAAAACACCACCCTGGTCAAATTGAGGCTGCTGCTATTATGGAACACATTTTGGATGGAAGCTCTTATATGAAAGCAGCTAAGAAGTTGCATGAGATGGATCCTTTGCAAAAGCCTAAACAAGATCGCTATGCACTTCGAACTTCACCTCAGTGGCTTGGTCCTCTTATTGAAGTGATTAGATTCTCTACCAAGTCAATTGAGAGAGAGATTAACTCTGTCAACGACAATCCTTTGATTGATGTTTCAAGGAACATGGCCTTGCATGGTGGTAACTTTCAGGGAACCCCTATTGGTGTCTCAATGGATAATACCCGTTTGGCTATTGCATCAATTGGAAAACTCATGTTTGCTCAATTCTCTGAGCTTGTCAATGATTTTTACAACAATGGGTTGCCTTCAAATCTCTCTGCTAGTAGGAATCCAAGCTTGGATTATGGTTTCAAGGGAGCTGAAATTGCCATGGCATCTTATTGCTCTGAGCTCCAATATCTTGCTAACCCTGTAACAACCCATGTCCAAAGTGCTGAGCAGCACAACCAGGATGTGAACTCTTTGGGTTTGATTTCATCTAGAAAAACAAACGAGGCTATTGAGATCCTGAAGCTTATGTCTTCCACTTTCTTGATTGCACTATGCCAAGCAATTGATTTGAGGCATTTGGAGGAGAATTTGAAGAACACTGTCAAGAACACTGTGAGCCAAGTTGCTAAGAGGACTCTTACCACAGGTGTCAATGGAGAACTCCATCCTTCCAGATTTTGTGAGAAAGATTTGCTGAAAGTTGTTGACAGGGAGTATATATTTGCCTACATTGATGACCCCTGCCTTGCTACATACCCATTGATGCAAAAACTAAGGGAAGTGCTTGTGGATCATGCATTAGCCAATGCAGAAGGTGAGAAGAACTTGAACACATCAATCTTTCAAAAGATTGCAACATTTGAGGATGAGTTGCAAACTCTCTTGCCAAAGGAGGTTGAAAGTGCAAGGCTTGCTTATGAGAATGGCCAATGTTCAATTCCAAACAAGATTAAGGAATGTAGGTCCTACCCATTGTACAAGTTTGTGAGAGCAGAGTTAGGGACAGCATTGCTAACCGGAGAAAAGGTCATATCACCAGGTGAGGAGTGTGACAAAGTGTTCACAGCAATATGCCAGGGTAAAATTATTGATCCTCTTTTGGAATGTCTTGGAGAGTGGAATGGTGCTCCTCTTCCAATTTGTTAGTTCAACCCGTTTCTTTGAGAAGTGTTTTCTTTTTCTTTTTCTTTCTATATATGTATTTGTATTGATAAACATTTGGTTTGTCTATAAGCCTATGGCAAATCAATCTAGACTTGTAATTGATATTGTAATAGAATGTCATTTGTTTGTCATAGTTCTGGGTGCAAATATAATACATGACCTTTGACGTAAAGGATATTTTTTTTTTCTTGAATAGTAATAATTGAATACATATGCTAGTGTTCATCCTTGAGAGAGGTTTTACAATTTTGTGACTACGTCTCTGTTACTGTCATTAATTTTGGTACAAATAATTAAGTGCGAGTATTTTATATAAAATGAGTGAACTTGTCATCTATATTTAAATGAATCCCTTTTCTCACAAACTTAAGATTATGAATCTAGCTCAAATATAACATACTACGCTTCAAATTTCAAATGCCTACATTCAACACTCTACTTAGAGAGTTAGAGTTGTTGCATCAAGTAGCAAATTCACCATAGTTTCATTGATTTGTAGGAATGCTAAATCACTGAACATGGTCAAATGTCTTTTTTGCCTGAGATAATAAAGAACCACCTAACTTTCAAACTATTTGCTATAAGATACAAGGAAAGAAGCTGTTAAATCCGGGTCAAGGTCACACCTGCGCTAATGGAATGGGTGGATGAAGGCGTGTGTGTATTGAGGACAAGGTGAGACCCAACTTTTCTGTTAGCCCGATACTAAAAGTATTAATTTATGAAATTTACTCATTTATAAATAAGAGAGAGATTATAATTAGTACCTCTTTTTCTCGTTACTAAATCTTAATCATTAATTTTCGTCAATCTACCGGTTATAATTTATTAGAAATTAATAATTAATTAATAAATATGACCCAATAAATTATAACCGTTAGATTGACGGAAATCAACGATTAAGATTTAACAATAAGAGATAGTAAGAAAAAATGTTGTGAATATTGAAGAGTTTCTCGTAGAAACGTGAGTCTTGAAGCCTCACGGTAAAACACACAAAAAGCTTCTAAGTTGAAAACACACACAGAGTTCACAAGTCTTTCAATATACATATATCTTTATTTTCTGCTACTCGAATCACTGTTATTAAAAATTTATTCATACAATTTAACACCATTTGTTGTTAGAATATGTGAAGGAGAAGAGGTAATGCACAAAATTTTCTGATTATTAAAATAAATTTATATGATGAACTAATATAAATAAATTGATGCAATAAAAAAATTGGGGGATAATTAAATTTATATAGGTGGAAGTTTAACACGTCTTACACCTATTATTAACCCGTTGATTTCATTTATATTTGATGATTAATCTAATTAATAAAATAGATGTATTGAATGTAATTGAAATTAATGGCTAATAATAAAAGTGCGATTTGCATATGTAACTATACCTTAATTTTTATTTTTATTTTCGCCTATATGGCGCATTTACACTAAATATTGCATTCCATTCCTATCTCAAAGAAAAAAGAAGAAATATTGGAAGAATTCATTAAAAAAATAATAAAAAGTTGGATAAGTGAAAATTGGCGCATGAATATATAATCCAGGTGTTTTTTGTTTAACATTTTACCTTGATTTTTCTACCATTCTTTAAACTTAATTTTTTATAATCAAACTGTGCACGGCATGCTAAGTTCTGAAATTTAAGAGAGTTTTGATAATCGACGTAGGAGGTTTTTTGCAGTTTTCTTTTAATTTTTTTTTTAAAAGTAAACTATAATGCAACTGTAAAACTAAATTTCAAAATATTATTGCGACTAAAAAATCTATCGGTAAATACATTTTATTATTATTTAAACTTTAATCTTTTTCTTAAAGTCATTTGGTAAGATCCTTGCATTTTTGTCAAAATTCTTACAGCTTAAGAAAAAAAAGAAAAAGGAAGAAGAAAATAAATAGAGGTGGCACTTTACTCTTTTTATTGAGGTAGTAAAAAGAAAATAAATAATACCAATAATTTGGTTTGTGCGTTGTGTTTGTTGTGGTTGTGCTTGAGGAACAGAATCAGAAGGTGTGCGTGTGTCAGCTATGGCTTCTCAGCTCCTAAGACGATTCCTCGGAAGCCGCTCTCTGGGAAACCCTAGGGCTTTCTCTTCCGCATCAACTCCGATCCGTGCCACTCTTTTCCCCGGCGATGGTATTGGTCCCGAGATCGCTGAATCCGTCAAACAGGTTCGTATTTTTTTTTCTCATCCTTTCGATTCTTTGCTGTCTCTGTCTCCGATTCATCAAATGAATCGTTGCGCCTTGTCAAGAGATATGTAATGATTGCAATTCTGTTGTGTTTCAGTGCGATTTAGTAATAACGTGATTGTGTGGATATTTAATTTTTTTAATTTCTGATTGGCTTCTTTTGTGAGGCATGGTTTGCGTGATAATTTGACTAACGCTCCACTTTGTTTTTACAGAAAATTACCTAATTCTAGAAAAATAACATTTTCAGGCAAATGTTTTTCCAAAAGACGATTTTAATAATAAAAAAATCAGACATCCTCGCAGAGTATTTGTCTGAAGGGAATTCATTTTCCTCTAAAATTATAGTTATGGGTTATTTTACCAAACACAGGAATTTTTTTTTTTTTTTTGGTATAATATTTGCTGTTCTCTAATTCGAATTTTTTTCTGGGCGAGGGTAAGGAGCTTGAACTATGAAGATATGTTTTTTTTTTTAAAAAAAAAATGATGCAAATGGGACATGCCTTGTTTGATTCAAGTTTAGTAAAATAAAATAAAATTGAGACCTATGGCTCGGTTCATAATTTTCCTGCAAATATATAATGCACAGTATCCTCTTACTTCAGGAGTAAGTGTTGCACACTTACACTGTTTAATAACTTTTTTGTAGAATACAAATTTAACATATCAAACTGTTGAATCATGTGATATTATTTTGATGATCCTGCATACCAAATCTTAGATAAATTAGACCACAGTAGTTAATTGCGCCGCAATAGTGTCGCGAGCCGCACTGTACGGACGTTGCGGTGCCTCGCCACAAGAAACCGCACCGCGCTGCACCAGAACGCAATAGCGGCCATTGCGATCGCATTTGCGACCGTATTGCTGTCATTAAGTAAAATGTCAATTTTGTCCTAAATTTAAATGTGTTACAAAATTTTTTTAAGGGTTTTTTAGTGTATCTGCATCTCTTTGTCACTTGTGCTATCTCTGCCTTTAAAAAATGATTCCTTTTATTATTATTTCGTCATATATCTATTCTGCTATTTCTGCAACCGCAACCCGCTATAGCGCTATAGCGTTTTTCGGGGTTGACCGCGACATGCCGCAATCCGCATTTGATAACTTTGAATTAGACATTGGTAGGTGTATAATTTTATGGTCAACATTTAGATAACTATGTGAGATGATGCTGTAAGGGGAATTTCTGGGGCTAATTTTACGGCATCAGCATAGCTATGGCTTGTGTAATGTGTGCTAGTGCTGACATGTGTATGGCTGTCTATCAATTTAATTGCAAGATGAAAAAATTAAAAATGAATGTAGCCCGTTTGCCATTGAAAAACTTTTTACGTGTTTAATATGGTGTTTTCTCCATTTCTAGTGTCAGATTTAACAAAATTTTCATTAAGTTAACAGATCTTTTATTAATAAGCTCAAGTTTTATCCTTCTATTGATTTTTGTTTTGTATATTCTGCTGTAATTCAAGATGTAATTTAAAATAACTCTTGTATAATATACTATGAAGCACAGCCACTGATACAGACATGGAGACACTCCAAGTTCTAAAAATTGTAGGACATGGACACGGCACACACATACACACATTAAATATATATGCAGCATATGAGAAAAGATAATCTTTACCGTTCATGTAAGATTGAACAGTCAATATTAGCTCCTCTCACACTCTCTTAATAGTTGATACAACCCCATATATATATATATATTGAAAATTTAGTGAAAAAGATACATAATATCATATATATCTTCAAGATTTACAATATATTGATATATGTCATATGTGCTAGTACTTTCTATCCTTTGGTTTCTACTAATTTCCGTGTATTAAGGGTACTGGTTTGTTTAACTTTTCTTACTTTGCCATGGCTGTGGAGTTTCTTTTGCGCTCTGGTCATCTCCTTATGGTTGCTGCTGAAAGTGACCACTGATCAATATTTGCTATACTTTATTCTTCCTCATGTCTCTTCTTATATGTTTCTTGCTATGTATACTTGTATATTCACAGAAATTAACATTTTTGTTGAATTTAATGTAATGCTGTGTCAATGATTTCTATGCAATAATTAGATATTCAAATCAGCTGAAGTGCCAATAGAATGGGAAGAGCACTATGTAGGGAATGAAATTGACCCCAGAACGCAGAGCTTTCTGACATGGGAAAGTTTAGAATCAGTAAGGCGAAATGGGGTCGGCTTGAAAGGGCCAATGGCTACCCCTATTGGAAAAGGGCATCGTTCACTAAACCTTACTCTTAGGAAAGAACTTAATTTATATGCCAATGTTAGACCTTGTTACAGCCTTCCTGGCTACAAAACTCGATACGATAATGTAAATCTCATCACGATCCGTGAAAATACGGAAGGCGAGTACAGTGGGCTTGAACATCAGGTAAGTTTCACAACAGTTGATGTTAAACTCTTTCATCCAAACTCTGATTGATATAATATTTTTTAGCTTTTTTGGGTTACAGGTTGTGAGAGGTGTAGTAGAAAGTCTAAAAATCATCACACGTCAAGCAAGTTTAAGGGTGGCTGAGTATGCTTTTCACTATGCCAAGGCACATGGAAGAGAGAGAGTGTCTGCTATACACAAAGCCAACATTATGCAAAAGACTGATGGTCTTTTCCTCAAGGTGCACCAATACATACAAATGCCTACAAATATTCGGTCTAAAATTTTATTCATGAATCCTAATATTGACCATTTAATTTTTAGTGTTGCCGAGAGGTTGCAGAGAAGTATCCTGAGATAACGTACGAGGAAGTTGTCATTGACAATTGCTGCATGATGGTAATATCGGTGAAATGCATTTGGATATTCCTTGCATCTAAGAAAATGAATGACACTGGTTAATATTTTCCACAGCTTGTGAAGAATCCTGCACTTTTTGATGTGTTGGTGATGCCTAATCTTTATGGGGATATTATCAGTGACCTTTGTGCTGGCTTGATTGGAGGATTGGGCTTGACACCAAGGTATTTTCTGTATTTTAGCTAAAGAAATACATACATAACAATTTTATCATCTGACAGCATTTAATGTCTTTTGCAGCTGCAACATTGGCGAGGGAGGTATTGCACTTGCTGAGGCTGTACATGGTTCAGCACCTGATATTGCTGGAAAGGTGAGCTGTGAAAGTACTTTTTCAACCTTGTATAATCTGTCCTAAACCTTTTTGCCTTGTTATGATGGAATATGAGTTTAATTGGGTGCTTGTTTCGTACTCGTTCTCAATATGCCTTAAGTAGGGCATTGGATATTTGAATATGGGAATTGTATGTCTCATCAGACTGCACAAGAATCTATGTCTATGATAAGGAAATATATGGGCTTGGGCCCTATTTACTCAATGTGGTATTAGACTATAACCAGACTATACAAAATTATATTCTAACAGGATAAAACTAATAGAGCAAGCTTTTGGCAACACCCTAATCTGGGATGGAAATGGTTTAAGCTAGGTTAAACTTTGCCTAAATAAGCCATGGTCTGTTTTGCAAAATGATGGCCCGAGCCTAATCTATTACCTATCATAGGCTTTTTCTTGGAATTGGTCTGGCCTGAAAGCCTATTTAGAAGCCTGTGTTACTTTAAGGTCTTCAAATAGGTTAAGAAACTTACACTTTTTATTTTTTCAAATTGGTATAACCTTTAATTAAATTATTATATTTTGTATAAAAATTAAATGTTACATTAATTTATAACCAATAAATTGTTTGAGTATTATAAATACTTAATTATATATCTAAATAATAAATTAATAGGTCAGTTTGGTAGGCCAAATAGGCTCATTGAAGGCTTAGGCCTTAGCCTACTGAGTTGAATAGGTCTTAAAAGCCTAAGCCTTATACTTGTTTGCTTGATAAGCCAGGTGTAGTCTAGGCCGTAGGCTCTTGGTAGGCTGTCTACACCTGTAATCTATTCTCACCTCCAAATTTAACCTGCGCTGTTACAGATAAATATTGAAAACACTATTACACAATTATTGTGTCTCCTCTCAATTATTTTGTTTTATTTTTGGCATCTGAGCTCTAACATCTATGCAAAATTTTAGTTAGAGATGTTATAAAGATACCGAAGACCTCTAAATTCATATATAATTCTGCATATTACAAAATATTGAGTAAGAAAAGTTTTCCTAAAATATGAAACTGATTGGAAGAAAATTACAAGAGTGAAGCTGTGACAAAACATTAGAGGTATTTTTTGTCAGTTTGAGACTTACAGTACATGGGAGTGTGTTAAGAAAGAAAAATGAACAGAAACAAAAACATGAAAATACCTCTCTTCGAGGGAGAGTATCTCCTCTAACACGGTTAGCCAAAATATTCCCCTTTTTCATTCATCGTAAAACAAGGTCTTTATACAGCAAAGTTCCTATCAGTAATAGAAAGGCAAGCTAAAAAATAAAAGCGCGCACACAAGCAACACCTCAAAATCTCAACAGATTCTGATAAAAGAAACAAATACACAAAAGCATAACCACCTAACAGCCTAATAAGCCACTGCTCTCATCTGGCACAATGCTCATATGATAAAAATCACTCATCCACTTGGGCTGGGATCTGTTCCTCTTGGTCCACCTGGTCTTGGGACTGATATGATGACCCAACTGATGTTGCTCCAGCCCAATAACCACTTGATTAGTCTCCTCCTCTGGTTGGCCCAGTTCAGTAAAGCTATGTGTATCATCCCCCTTCCCTTTGAGAAACACCTTGTCCTCAAGGTGGAATTCCAGGTGAGAGCCTAAAAGTTCCTCCAATGACTTCTGTTAGAATATTAGATATGATATGATTAGATTTGATTAGATATGATTGGATTCTGTCTTATCCGTAAATAGTCTGACTGTATTCTGACTGTATTAGGATTAGGTTTGGATTAGGTTTGGGCCTTACACTTAAGCCCATTAGGGTCTCTATATATTGTAACTCCCTGACACAGATCAATACATAACGTATTCTTTTACATTTAACTTGGTACCAGAGCTATTTCGTTCTGGGAACCCTCGCTTCCGCTTAGAAATCTTGTTCTTCGCTTTAAAACCTAAGCCCACTGCTTAGGAGTCATCTTTTCTTTGCCGTGCGTCCTTCCGGTAAGACATCAAGGGCTGTAAGTCCTCTCCAGGCATCTTCTGCACGTGTCCACATCCCCAAACAGTCACCGGAGCACCATCAGCCATCGTCAGCCACCGTCAGCCACTGTTCAGGCTGCCGGAGTACTTTTCCGGCGAGTTTTCAGTCTGGAACGAACGCGAACAGAACCCTCTCCTCACGGCAACCTGCTCTGTGGAAGTCCGACCACCATCGGAGTTGTCACGCGCTCTCACGCGCCTCCAGTCTTCTCTACGCATGGGCTTCACGCGCCACCTTCTGCCGGCGCGTGAGCACTATTCCGACGGCTTTTTCCGGCTGGTCTTGGACAGAGAAGCTCGTCTTCTCCTCCTCTTTCTGGATCTGTGGTTGGTTCTTTGTGGGTCTGACTTTTTGTGCGTACCTCTTCTTGATTGGTGATCAGGTTCGTTTCTCTTTATTCAGTTTGTATCTTTGTGATTTGATACTATGGCAGCAAACCCTCCAATTCATTCGGAGGTCAAGTCTCCATCTCCTCCTTTGAGAAATTCTCCCAATATCATCTCTACCAATATTGGGTCCATAACCTCTTCAAAATTGAAGGGATCTGTTAATTACAAGAACTGGGCCACCTCTGTTCGAGTTTGGTTCTTTGGACAAGGATATGGGAACCATCTCACAACTAAGTCTACTGATGTCCCTAAGGAGGACAAGTCTGATTGGGAAAAGATTGACAACCAGCTTCTGAGTATCCTCTGGCAATCCATTGATCCGATTGTCTTGGATATCTTTTATTCATTTCAAACTTGAACTGAAGTGTGGGAGGAAGCAAAAAACCTCTACACTAATGATGTTCAGCAGCTCTATTTCATCATCTCTCAGTTTATGGAATTGAGCAAATCATCCGACATTCAGATGGAGACATATATTGGCAAGAGTCGCTCTTTGATGCAGGCATATTTGGATATGCTGCCTTACCCTACTGATGCTACTGCATATCGGAAACAGGTGGAACGTCTCTTTATGGTTGCCACACTTTCTGGCCTTCCCGAAGAATATGATAATGTTCGTGATACTATCTTGACTAGTGGGGAGCCTGATCTATCCATGACGTATCAGCGTCTTCTGAATTTGAATAAGAAATCTGCTCCTGCATCGTCTTCTGCTGTTGATTCTACTGCTCTAGTTTCCCGTACTGATTTTCGCGGGCATATTGGAGGTGGACGTGGTCGTGGTAGAGGCCCAGGAGGACGTAGCCCAGGAGGTCGTGGCCTAGGAGGCCCAGGAGGTCCAGTCGGACGTGGTCAGCGACCTCGTTGTCATTACTGTCAGCAACTTGGTCATTATGAGGAACGCTGCTACACCAAGTATCCTCACATGCGACCTTCTTTTGCTGCTAATGTAGCTCAATCGGATACTGCTTCAAATGGTTCAGTCTCTCTCTCCTCTGAAGAATATGCAGCATTCCAGGCCCTTCTCAGGAAGTCCTCTCCTCAATCTCAGGCCTCTGCTTCAGAAACTGGTAATCCTGTTGCTTGTGTTTCTCATTCTGCATCACTTGGTCCTTGGATATTTGACTCAGGTGCTACTGATCACCTCTGTGGTAATAAGGAACTCTTTTCTTCCCTTACATATTCTAATAATTTACCCTCTTTTACTCTTGCTGATGGAACTAAGGCCCCCGTTCATGGGATTGGACAAATCTGTCCAACCTCCTCATTGACCTTGACATCTGTCTATTACATTCCTCACATCCCTTATAATTTAATATCGGTTAGTAAATTGATCAATTCTCTTAATTGTATTGTCACATTCTCAAACCATTCTGTTTCTGTGCAGGACCCGGGTACGGGGAAGATGATTGGAGTGGGTCGTGAGTCACGGGGTCTGTTCTACCTTGATGTGCCGAGTCCTTCAGTTGCTTGTTCTCTCACAGAATCTCCACAGCTCATCCACAGTCGTCTCGGGCATCCTAGTCTTGCGAAATTGCAGAAGATGGTTCCTCTTTTATCCGGTCTTCAAACTTTAGATTGTCAGTCATGTCAGCAAGGAAAGCACATACGCTCCTCCTTTGCTAATCGAGTCAATAAACGAGCTGATGCTCCTTTTTCAATTATTCATTCAGATATTTGGGGTCCTAGTCGTAGTGTGTCTATTTTAGGTTTTCAGTATTTTGTCACCTTTATTGATGATTTCTCCCGTTGTACTTGGATTTATTTAATGAAAAACCGTTCTGAGTTGTTTTCTATTTATCAAAAGTTTTCTGCTGAAATTCATACTCAATTTGGTGCTTCTATTCGTATTTTACGTAGTGATAATGCTAAGGAGTATGTTTCTGTTGACTTTTCTCACTTCTTAGCCACACAGGGTACTTTACACCAAACCACTTGTCCTCACACTCCACAACAAAATGGAGTAGCTGAACGTAAGAATAGACATCTCATTGAGATTGCCAGGACTCTTCTTATTCACATGCATGTTCCTCTTCACTTCTGGGCTGATGCAGTCCTTGCTTCTTGCTTTCTCATCAACCGCATGCCTTCATCTGTGCTTAATAATGATATTCCTCATAACTTATTGTTTCCAGATGTTCCTCTCTTTCCTCTATCCCCACATGTTTTTGGTTGTACCTGTTTTGTTCATGATCTCACTCCTGGTAAGGATAAGTTAACATCCAAAGCCTTTAAATGCATTTTTCTTGGTTATTCTCGTCTTCAAAAGGGTTATCGCTGTTACTCTCCTGACCTCAAGCGTTACTTAGTTTTCGCGGATGTCACCTTTTTTGATCAACAACCCTTTAATTCTATCCCATCTTCATTGTCACAGGTTGATCATGTTCTTCCTGTTCCTTTTCTTGACTTGTCTTTGCCAGATGCAGGTGCTTCTACTCCAGATAAGCAATCACCTATTGCTCCAGTACCTAAGGACCGTCCACTTCTCACTTATCAGCGTCGTAAGACAGTACCTCCAGTCGACTCGACCCCTGCTGACTCATTGCCCTCTACAGTTGATTCTTCCCCTCCGGATCCTTCACCAGAGGCTCTTCCCATTGCTC